CCCACTTTAGCTCTTCAGTACACGTGGCACTGCCTGCTCCCAGCGGCATGACACCTGCGCATCTATGCACATGGCTAGCTTGCAGCAATGTCCCAGGGCTGCTGGGGGCTGCAGGAGAGTGGAAGCACCAGCAGCACGGCTCTGCCTTTGCCATCCACCTTCCCCACATTTCTCTGCAGGGTGGGCAGGAGGCCCTGAGGCGGCCACTGCTGTGAAGGAGGCTGGCATCCCAGATGCCCTGGGAAATCATGGCATGGCTCTCCCGCACCTCACACCCAGTGGTTTGGAAGGCAGTGGGGAGCTAACAGTTTATTCACAGTCCCAAGGAATGCTAGGGAAAAGCTGGGGGCAGGGGAGGAGGCAGGAGCCAGAGTGGAGGACAGGAGCTTTACGGGACATTTGCCGTGTTGGCAATACCCTGCACGTCGGCCATGCACACCTCCTGTGCAGGGGCAACTTTGCTGAGAGGGGCACAATGCTTCTGCCAAAAAAGCAAAGGCAGAACCGTTCACAAGCGGTGTTTGAGTGCACTGCAGAGACCAGAGACGAGTGCCAAACACGGCTGTCTCCAAGGCTGCCACTGCTGGACACAGCATGATGCATTTTTTCACGGCCAGCGATATTCCAAAGCAGAGATGGGCATCTGGAAGGCAATGTGAAGGCAGAAATGGAAGGGAGCACAGAGCAGCCACTCAGAGTGTGGCTGGAGCTGATGCTACTGTTGCTAGGCAGATCTAGCAGAGAATGCAGGCAGAAATGTTTCCTCCAGCAATGGCTGCTCTTTCCTCAGGACTCTATGGTAGCAGCATGGAAACCATGCTCAAATGGTATTTCTGTGTTCACTGTAGAACAGACCATTGTTTTTCTCCATGGTTATGCAGAGACCAGGCTGTACCACTCTGGCTGGTTCACACAACACAATAAACCATGCCATGGGCTTTAACTGAATTATGTGTGAACTCAGCCAGGGTCTGCCATGATCCACAAGCTGCGCAGTTCCCCTAGTAGCCCGCTATGCTGTATTCACAAATAATGACAAGCCATGCCGGAAACCACACAAGAATGGGCTGTCATGATGTGTGAATTCAGCAACCATCATGAAGCATCATAATGTGGTTTCCGTGAATCCCCATGGAGAAACAACAGTTAGTTGTAAGGTTCCCATGCTTCACCATTACTTATTAGGTGTTAATCCAGTTGTAATGTTTTTCCATAGCTTCTGCATTTCTGCACTCATGTTTGGTGGCAAGAGCAGCTGTACTGGCACCAGACACTGCTGCCTCCCCCCCCCCCCCCCCGCCCTGCACTGAGGCAGCTGCAGCCATGCTCTAATCGGCTGCCGCACACTGCTTTTTCACTCTGTCTGTGTGCTGCCCTCCCGATGCCCAGCTGCAGCTCTGGAATATGGCAGCAGCCAGGCATCACACCGTACCTTCTCCAACAGCAGCAACTGTGCAGGTAGCCACTCCTGGTGCTCTTGTCTGGTCCCTGCCCTTTGCTGGAACGGTGCTTTGAAATGGACGCCTGCTTGTTCTGCTCAGGGAGCTGGAGCGCTCTCTTCCGAAGGCAGCTGTACTAGGACTCTCAACAAGCTCCGCCGCCCCACCCCCACCACAGCTGCACAACAAGCATACTCCTTGTGGCCATCCGGAGAACATTCCCAGGCAGATGCCCACATGTGCTCCGGGGGGGGGGTCACTCTGGCGGGGCGCACTCCCTCCATCCTTGGCCTGCCCTGCACATGCAGATGCTTTCCGTGTGCCTGGCTGTAGGGGGAGGCAGTCCCTGGCAGCATGAGTGTCCTGCGCATGGGTGAGTGTGGAATCACATGGGTGTCTGTGGAGTGGACATGTGCAGCAAGACACGGGACAGGCGGGTATGTGGCTGGGCGTGCCTGCAGAGAACAGGGCAGCCGCGGGGAGGGTTCCTGAAGTGCTCCCCGAGAGCAACAGTGCTACTCCAGGGAACAGGCAGTAGCTTTGCACAGCAGGAGAGAGACAGAGACTGAGAGAAACAGGTAGCCTGGGAGGCCACAGCCAGAGAAATAGGTGGCCATTGAGGAAGAGGGATATGAGCTGCCACTTGGAGGGAAGATCACAGGGGTCTTAGTGGTGGCTGCCTTCCGTCTTGCAAGCCTTCACTGGTGTGTCGACTTTAGCCTCTTCCTGCCTTTGCTAGATACTTGGCCCTTGCTTGTTCCTGACTCTGCCTTCACCTCTGGCCCTGCTATATCCTAGTGAGTGTCTGAATCTTGCTTGAGTAAGCCTTGGTTCTCTTTTCACCTCCATCACGCCTGGTCCTGGTGCTCTAGTCCAGGATGGCTGCTGCTTCTGTCCTTGGACAGAAGGGGGAGGGGTAGAGGGGGGACAAATGTGGGCGTCTACTAGAGGTCCAATATAACATGCACCTGTCATTCACTGTGGTGTCAGTGAAGATGAGGGGAGGACCGATGTTCTGCAGCATCTCCTCGGAAGGAGGCCCTGGAGAACATGCCCTGTTGCTTGTGGTGATGAGTGACAAGGGTGAGAACCATCTGCAACTGCATCTGCTGGGCCACCTTCAGAGGAGTCTAAGTGGCATGTGGCTCTTCCTTGCCACTGCGAAGCCGTCCCTCTTTCCGAGGCTCAGCAGTGGGGAGTCTTTGACAGCTGCCCCACGTGCTGTGTGGGCACTTGTCAGGTAGTTTTCCTCCCTGTTCTGCTCCCTGGGATTCACGTGAGAGGGGAGGAGGGTGACGGGGCTGCCTGAGAATCCATGCTGTGTGCGATCATCAGTGGGGGTCTCAGGCTTAAAGTGTTGTGTGAACTTGCACCATGTTGTCTTCTTGTGGCAACAAAAAATGCAGCAGGGCTCAATGGTATACATACATCACAGCAATATGTACATAATTTGTAAGAGTTTCTTTAAAGTGGAAAAGGCGAGGAAGATCCTGGGGTGGTCTTCATGCTAAGCATGTGCATTACTGCTATGTTCTAACTCATTCTTTTCAATATATTCCTTCTCCCAGTGGAACTGGTTTGTTTAGGTTCAGAAGGAACCAGGAATTCCTGCACACCTCAAGACAGAAAAACGGCTTTAAACAAACAAGTCACTTGAAATGTTGTGGATACACAGATGCTTTTTAAAAACAGTCACTGCAGGAGCACGCACTGGAGAGGTCCCATTAGTTTCAAATCGCTATAGAGTGTTTCTGCAATGTATGGGAGACATGCCCTTCCTTCCTTCCTTCCTTCCTTCCTTCCTTCCTTCCTTCCTTCCTTCCACTATACATTTCAAATACCCTTATGACATGGCCTTTTTTGAATAACAGAACTGATTTCTTATACGCAATGTTAGTAACGAAGCAAGAGCTTTCTCTGTCCCACTCTTTTTATATGAACCCAGTGTGAAGTCTGCTGATAACTCTGTGAAGTCAGAGTGTTGGAGCTTTCCAAGCCGGTGGTCTCTCATGCTGAAAGCGTGCCTTTTCACCCTCCCCGAGACATAATATCAGCATTGCCTTCTGCACAACCAAAATGCCCTTTCTGATTCTTCCCAGCCCATCAGTTCCCGTGCACTAGTGGGATGCCTTGCTAATTCCATTGTGCAAGAGGGCCCAGCGTGTGTGCAAGGGAGATGAAGTGCTTCCTAGGGGAAGCCTCCAAGTGAGCAGAAACACTTGTTTCTGGAAGCAGCCAGTGGAGCTCCCTCATGCAAGTTCTGCTGATCTGCATCCTTCCGTGATGAAGTTTCATCTTTTTGGGACTTGCCCCAGAAGCACTAAGTCACCATTGCACAGGGTTAGCGGTGCCTACCATGTGCTGAAGGGAACCGGTGAGGCAGAGGGGAATTGGCGGGGGTGGAAGCAGGCCACTGGATTTGGCCTGAAGTCTTGGGATCCCTTGCAGAGGAACAGATTTACTCCCGCAGCAGCATTCATGAGCTTGGATCAACGCACACGATATTTAAAATCAGCCTACATGTGTTAATTGACTTGCCAAGTTTCAGGATGTTTATATGATGAGCAGTGACTACACTGTGAATGACTGCTGCTGATAGCGTGATTGCCACTGCCAGTGCTTGTCTGTACTTCCTTCTCACATCACTGTTTCCTATTCTTCCTTCCCTCCCCACTCTACCCACTGTGCATCTATAATACTCCATCCATATGATAAAAGGCTCATGGAAGCTTATACCAGAACAAATTTATTAGCCTTACAGTGTCACGCACGACTTTGGTGGTTTTGCTGTGATCGACTAACACGGCTACCCTCTGGAAAGGAATAGCAATTTGGTAAAAGCATGGAATGCCCTGTCAGAGGCATATCTTTCTCTGTTACAGTCCAACAGGGAGCATAAGGGAAACAAGGGATCTCTGTGCTTTAAATCTATGACCCAGCCACATGCCAGCTGAAACCCAGGGAGGACGAGATGTTACTGCCAGGCTGTCATACACAATTGATGGGAGGCTCTGTGGTTCCAGCACAAGCAGACGGATGCAGCAAGCGAAAGATAAGAAAGGCAAACCGTTAAGTCAAAGAGATGGAAGAGCGCATGAAATCGGATACAGGGAAAGGGGAGGTCCAACCATGCTGAAATGCTGAAAAAAACGTTCTTTTGCAGTTCATGTCTTTCCCCCCAAAAAGTGTTTTTATACAGGGTATCCTGGAGTTTCACGAAGGCTTATCTGTATCTTGCACAGCTGTTTCTTTTTATCTCCCCCCCACCGCCACATATTTCGAGCTCTAGCTTTCTGTATAGCTCAGACTTTCAGATAGCATCGCTTTCCTGGCTCCTATTTCAGAGGCATTCTTCACAAATTAATGCCTGCGTCTTTTTTCAAAAGTAAAATAAAAGAATGTTTAGTCCAAATGTGTAAAATATTCCTTCTTTAGCTAAGCCTGCAGAGAGATGTTGCCTCATTGGCAAGATCCGAGACTTTGGGCAGTGATGTCAGAAACGGTGACTATTTTTGCAGCCTCGTGCTTATCAATTGAAACGAATAATAACAAAACTCTTACCTAACCAAATGGAGTTGTGCAGGACTCCATCCTTGAATCCCCATCCAAGAGCTCTGTCCCACAGCAGGGCAAAGAGGAAAGTTAATGCAATCATAGCTTCAGTCAGAGTTTGCAGTCGCTGCCGAAAGGGTCTGGACAACTGTTGCTAGCAGCTGCTTGCTTTCTAGTGGGACATCTGGCTGCCAGACCTTAAATAGGGTTTTCATCTGTGAGGTCAGCAAGCCTGCTCCAATTGTACATGCTGCAGCATGGCTCACAATTAAAATTAATCCCTGGGTTTTGTGAGTCTGACTCATCTGATGTTTCCTTAACATGAGTGATCAAAGTCTGCGCAGCATCCAAGTGAACATTTAATTCTTCATTTGCCAAAGCAAATATCTAAATGTTGACTTGTTGAATATGTTAATGTTTCTCTTGTAACCATCAGACATGTTTTGATATGCAAATGAGAAGGTACTTCATACATTCTTGCTTTTTGATTATGTGAAAAGTGAATAGATTTCAACAAAATCTGGCTGCGGCTTCTGGCGGTCATGGATCAGTTGTTATTGCTGGGGAAAAGGTAATTTTTGAACAACAAAGAGGAAAGCATTTCTTAACAGGGGATAAACTGAGCTATGGCAAATGATTAAATTACCAACACATCAATATTCTTAAAGATTGATGCTTAGAAATAGGGGAATACAATGTAATGACTGTACTAATAAGAAGAAAACAATTGTACATTTCATCATGCACTGAAGATATTTTTATTTAAAATGGATGTTGAGATTAAGCCAGGTGCTGCTGATAGCAAATTGACCACTATTGTCAACTGTTACACTAAAAGTCAGCGTGGCTTCATTTGTTGCACAAATATGAGATTAGGATATTGGCCACATTAGGACATGAAGCAGTGGCTCAACATGACACAACAGAAATCTGACACAGAGCATCTTTCATTTGCCATCACTGGCTGTGGTTGGGACAGTTGGGAGCTGAAGCCCAAAATGAGGGGGAATAACAGGTTGTGGGTGGCTAGTCCAGCGGGTTCCCATCTTGGGAAGGAGCTGTGTCCACATTCAGTTGGATGGAGCCCCCTTTTGGTGGGAGGTATTGTCCATTCAGTATCTGTCAGTGCTTCCAGATGGGAAGCTGTTTTTGCTGGCAGTTGGAAGGCATTGCACTTATTCTCCATAGTGGATTTTCTGAGGCAAGAAAAAAGGCAAAAGCAGCAGTGGAAAAGCATGGTGGCGTTACCAGCAATGCTTGGAGCCCCTGCAAAATTCTGTGAATGAGGCAATGGTGTGATAAACATGCCATATTTATTTATTTAAAACTTTTTTAGACAGTCCCTTACCGTGGTCTCAGGATGGTTCAACAAGAAGACAAAATAGAATAAAACACGGCATTGTACATGTAGCCTGTGCTGCTGGTGCCGTTATCTGGAATGCGCTCCCCAGAGAGGTCCGCCTGGTGCCGTCGTTATTTGTTTTTCGGCGCCAGGCGAAGACCTTTTTATTTAAGCAGCATTTTAAATGTTAATACCATTGAATTTTATTTGGCCAGGGCGGCTTATTTTATTCTAATGTATATATTTTAATTGTTATTGTCTTAATTTATTGTTGTGAGCCGCCCCGAGGCTTCGGCGAATGGGGCGGCATAAAAATGTTTTAATAAATAAAATAAAATAATAAAATCTGGATCAGAGCCAAAAAGGTGGCCTCGAGCCTCATCAGAACAGACACAGGGCCTTTCGTGGGAGGGTGCAAAGTTCATGTCCCCGTCTCCCAGCCACACCCTCGTGTCTGATTCATGGCGTGACAGATGTCTTGTGGCTTGAGGCAGAGTGTGACTTCAGCAGTGGTTTTAGTGGCAGGAGGGTCTAGGGCAGGAATGTGAGATAAATGGGAAAAACCCTGCCGTTCCCTTCCTCCTCATTTGGAAAGGTCCTCTCAGGAAATCTGAATTTCCTGTTTCTTCCTTCAAACCTTCAGTTGAGAATTCAACAGGTTCTCATTTCCTGTCTACTAAAAGATGGGATGCTAAACGTTGAGATGGGCTGACTTCACATACATAGACAAGTCTAAAAGAAAATGAAATGCATGCTGACACCTTAATTCAGAAAGGGAAAAAAAGTGGACTTAACGCCCAGCTTGCCAGCAAAGGTACTGGCTCCCCACCTCCTGCCCTCTTATCTCCAAGACGTTGTATTCTCAGTGTCTGAATAGAAGTCAGGCCCTTGCCCATCAGGTCAATCTTTTAGCAAAGTCCTAAACTAAAATCTGCCGCATTCTAGTGCATGCTATTAAAACCTTGGAAGCCATTCTTGTTTATATAGTGTACTTATAACGTGAGTTCATGGTTTTGCAATGGCTTATTTAATTACAGAAATCTGTTAAATGAATGGCACATTGCTAAGAACATGATTCAATTTATATTTATCTTGAAAAACATAATTTTGACCGTGGATAACATGTTTTCTGACCTGGATTAGTTTTGATCTGGTTTTCGTGAAGACTTTGGCACCCCTCCACCACCCCACCAGACAAAGGCAATGTTCTTTCCTCATACCTTCCTCAGTCTGATGCCCAAGGACATCGAGTCCTTCCTCAGGTCAGACACGACCATACATCAGAAACCCTTCCTAGGCATGGAACAATATTAAACCCCTCTCCTTGCCTTAAGAACTGGCTGTACTGGGGAGGACTTGGGCACAGTTGCTGGAACTGCTGCATGGATAGTCTAGACTTTTGCTTGCCTCCAGTTAAGATGGCAGCCACAGTAAATACCCCTTAGGCAGAAAGTTGAATGAGTAGACTCTCATGGCAGGGTGTGGAAGAGAAGACCAGAGGCTGGTCATATCTTCACCACAGACATTAACTGTTTCTATGTAAATATTCTGTCATTCCTTACTGTGCCAGGCTCTTAATTTTTGCCTCCGTAATGGCATCCCTCCCCCCTGCAAACCACAGGTTTACCCAACGTGGCCAGAAAAAGGCAGTGTTTATTTTATTTTTTGTGTTTTGAAATTGCCTTTACTACAGCTATAACAACAAGATCTGTAATCATCTCAAACCACAAAGTGCCACAACTACTGGCTAATTTTCATAGACATTATCTAAAGTGACTGGAAGAGACATTTGTAATAGCTGATCGACACTGCTCCTAATGAATCTTAACTGACAGTAAAAAGCCATTGCAACAAAGTTAGTAATGGTATCTGCTTGGTCAATAAGAGTCATGAAGTAGGAACCAAGGATTAGACAGAACCTCGTGGACTACCATCTGAGCCCTCGCTTACCTAAAAAGTTATCTGTCAAAGGGGACGTGTTCCTCTGTCTCTATCATCACTGTATACATCACTAAATGTGCAATCCTATGCCAATTTAGGCTGAAAAAAGGCTTGCAAGTCCCAGCATGCCTCAGCCAGCAGGCCTCTTTTCTGCATACATGTGGATAAATTTGTTCCCAGAGATGTTCTGGTGAGCCAGCCTTCTTCATGGATTCAGTATACTTATAGCACAGTCCTATACCTGTTTAGACAAAGTCCTAAACTGTTAGCATTCCCTACCATTCATGGCTTGCTGGGGCATTCTGGGAGCTGTAGGGCTTTTTCTCTGTGCCCTTAATGTAATGGATCCCACTAGCTGCACAACCTGCTTCCAGAGCCCCCAGATCAAGGGTAGGCAACATTTGGCCTTCCAGATCTTGTTGGATCTCATCTCCTGTCCTCCCTAACCATCGCACATGCTGACTGATGCTGATGAAAGACTGAATGTGACACCCTATGCAGGACTGTGGTTGCCCACTCCCCTTTGAGGTGGAGATTCTGTCTCATCCCTCAGTGAATCACTCACTCCAGGCTCCTTCATTACTCACACAACTAGTTCTGCTTTGTGGCCTCTTTGGGTCTATCCCTCATGTAAATCGCATTGTGCTAGCAGAGCTTCCTCTGTGCCATGCCCATCGCACCGGCTGGCGGGTGCTGCTTTCTGTGGAAACCTACTGTGCCAGCAGTTGCTATGGCCATTCTGCTTATGCTGACACATGTGCTACACATTAACTTCAGCACTCAATAGGCTATCCTCTTTTATGTTTGAACCCATGCCTTTTATTCCTTAGTTTCATGCAAGGAGAGAACAGGTCATTAAGATGGACATTTTTGGGGGGTTGGGGTTTTGAAGTCTGATTTGGTCCCCCACACTTTTCTTGAGCTTTTCTACATGTGGTTTTTGATCATGCACCCATCATCATGTTTGTTTATGAGTTCCTTAGACAAGATCATAACCCCGTCTCACTTCTGTGTCTAATCAGTTTAATTTTTAAACAAGGAAATTGTGGTATTTCTTTCTTAGAGGGAAAACAAACATTTTTCCCTTATGCATTTGCACTATTCTCCTAAAGCATGGTGCGTCCTAGAGGTTGTGTATCTGAGAAGCAGGAAAGGACATGCTTCTTTGTAGGCTGATCCCAATTCTGCTATGGAATCAAAAGTAGATGAAGAAGATTAATAGCCTTGGGTAGAAAAGCCCCTCTTGTCAACATCAATAAATACAAACTTTGGCCAGCATTAGGGTGCTTCCAGGCAGAGGGATCTTCATGCTAATCACCAGAACTCATTGTGCAATTATTCTATCTTTGCTTCCCTGATGGGTTTCGATAAGAGAAAAAAGTAGAAAAACAGGTGGGAAAATATTGGAGGGGATGTTCTAAGTGGAAAACTATAACATCTGTTTCCCTCACAAAAATCCATGAATAGAGCAGGGCAAGGGCACTATAAAAACCTCACCTGGAAACATCCTTAATGTTCTGAATTTATGCCCATCATCTCTACAACAGGAGAAGGAGAAAAAAAAATGACCATTATACTTTTTAAAGCAGGCTTTCCTTCTCCTTCCCACCCATCCCCTTGAGGACAGCATTGGTCCCATATAATTTTCTCTTCTTTCATCTAAACCCACTTCCTCCTGTCTTTTCTCATATGTAACATTCCCACTACCCAATGATCATATACTGTTCTTGCTCTTCTAGGAATTATTTCCAGTTTCTTCATATCTTGTTTAAAAATAAAATTGACTGGAGCTGTGCATAGCACTCTCTCATTAATTAATT